GCTTCTGCTTTGCATAATAAATTCGCTATCGATGAAAACTAACTTGCAACCTGGTCGATCTTTAGGGTATCTCTCCATCTCCCTCTCCCTCTCTCTCTCCCTCACTCTTTGCCAGCCCATTGCCCTGCTCTTCTAGGGTATTGGGATTTCCCTGGCAATTTGTTTTGCAGCGCTTGGGCAGCGCCTTTGGGCCATTGGCTGTTTAATTCGATTGCGCTGGCGATTTTCGGTTTCGGCTTTACCATTTTATTACAATAGCATAATTTTTTACTATGCTTAATGAGTTCTGCTTTGATTAGTTTTATTTTTTTTTCTGTCTTGTTTTTGTTGTTGTTTCTAGTTTGGCGCTTGGTGCTTTGGGCACAATTCGTTGTTTGTTGGGTGTCGTTGGCAAAGGCTCAATTTGCAGAGAAACTGAAGCTGCAGCAGCTGAAACTGGAACTGAACTGGGACTGGGATCGGGAGCCGCGCTGTAAGTAGTTAGCATTTGCTTATTGAAATGTTGCAAATTGAATTTGTTATGCGCCGTTTAGGAAACATTGAAATAAGATAGATTAAGATTAAATTGAATTAAGATTATAAAACACGACTTCACTATACAAAGTCTTATGACTTATGCTAATATGAAAGTCTTTAGTATTTCGTAAGATATAAGCATTTATTTAATATTTGGATATAAACAAGTGTTCAAATTAAAATACAATTTCAAATTTTAGTTTTAATTTTATTGAATTTTTAATTTAATTGTTGTTATATTACATCTAACTGAATATACACGGACTTATGTGTATATCTCTAACTGTGTTTAAAAATCTTGCAATCATGAGGAATATTTAACATGAATATATAAATTAGAATACCTATCGATAAAGATTATTTTTGTATGTGAACTATCTTTATCTATTTTTTATTTGTAAATTATATTTTATGTAGCGAATGCTCCCGCTTAAATTTAAAAATTCGTTATTAAGAACGTCGCACTGCTTGTGTACACTGCTTACGTACTGCTTAGCATAAACTGCTTACTCAAGCAGCATTGGTTAGTCTATGCTGAAGCTGAGTCTAGTTTAAAAGCCACAGACATATGCGCAAGCTGTCAAAAGCTTACTGCTATGCACCGCGGTCGTTAAAGTTAAAACCATTTTTTTTTCAGTTAAATTTTTTTCATATCACATAAAATAAGACATACCAATTGCGCGATTAGGCGTATTTAATTTCAACAGCAACTGTGAAATTTGCTCAAATTCGTGTTTTACTTGCCGAGGGTTATCATGTCGACGCTATCAGGGCACGCATTGACGCCAACCAAGTTGCGGGGGGCCACAGCTGTGCACAGATGCCTCTGACACACATATGTGTGATTTATGTGGTCATACATATACACATTCACATGCGCATGTATACATGTAGTATTTGCATATATGTATGTGTGAGCACAAAGTTTCGGCGCGTGTCTCTCATTTAGCTTCCTAGCACCTGGGCACTTTATTTTCGGGCAGTTCATGGAGATAGAGATAACGATAGAGGCAGAGAGTGAGAGAGAGAAGAGAGAGAGAGAGAGGGAGACCTTGACATTGCGCGTGTATAAGTGCCTTGCAGTGCCAAACAAATTAACAAAAAATAAAATCTTATAAAAAATCAAAAGCCAACCAAACAGAAATTTCAACTCCGGCACATGCAGGAAAAACCGGTACCCAAGTACAATTCGAGTTATTGTTGTTATGATTATTGATATTGTTATTGTTACATACGCGAGACGCTGACACGTCTAAAAATATCCGCCGGACATCTATTGATAACCGTACATCGCGCTGCCTGTCACGCCGCAAGGCTGACACTATTTTGGCAAGCGATGACAGAGGACGGACACACACAAACAAACATACATATATGTGCGTCTATGTAATTTTGGACGCGTGTCGTGGATTTTATTTTGTTTATATAAAATATAATTTGTTGATATCCATGCTATTGCTAAAAAAAAATGTTAGCCATTTACTTAAGATTTATTTATTAAATTAAATTAATTTTAAATTTTAAAATTATTTTCTTTGGGCTGACCAAACAAGAGTAATATTTACAATAACTCCAATATGTCACATTTGAAAGCTAATAATAAATTTAAAATATGGAAACATTCAGTAGAATTTGCCTTTTAAATTTAAATATTATTACAACTGGCTAAGGAATTTTTATAAACTAATAAATTCGTAAACCGTTCGTGTTTCTGATCAAGACAACGCGGCACGTGATGGGCCCTATTAAACAATCATATACACTACTCTAACTGGGCATACTCGAATTGATGTATCGTATGTAACACTATTCCATATTACTTTAGTCAGAATTCACTAAATTATGTAAAAATAATAAATATATTCAATTATTTAAT